CCCCCCCCCCTTCCCCACCCTCCACCCCCTTTGCCCTTGCAGGATTACCCAGCGTGTCCCCCATGGTGACAATCGTCCTTGACTCGACGTCCGTGTTATTGGTCAGGTTGGAGAGGACCATGGCCAGGTGAGGCCTCCAGTCCCCCCACTTCTCATCTCCACAGCACTAAAAGAAAAAGAGGGGAGGGGCCGATGCTGTCAGCCACGGAAAGATGAGAGGAGGCAGCAAATTTATAAAGCCCCCCCCCCCCCAAGTTGGCATAGAGTGGGAACTAAGGATGTGCATCCCAGCCAGGATGAGCACGGAAGCGCTGAAGCGGCCGACAGAAACACGGTGTTTTCCTGATGATAGTTTTTCTTTAAAAATGTTGACCTAAAAATGGAGGGCATCTTATGCATGGGGGTTGCGGAGGGCAAGAGGAGAGCCTTGTACTTTGGCTTGTTGGCCACCAGCCCCCCCAGCAGCTGAATCAGAGGAGGCGGCGTGGGAGTCGGGGTCGGCATCAGGGCAACCTGGGAGCTCTGAGGGGGAAGAGGGAATGGAGCTGGCAGAGAGAAAGAGAGAGACAGAGAGAGAGAGAGAGAGAGAGAGAGAGAGAGAGAGAGAGGCAGAGCCTGGGCCATCCGTCAGCCCTCAGATAGAGAGTCAACAGCCCCCAGGTCTGGAGGGGGCTGATGAGGAAGAGGAGAAACTGCTGGGTCCAGTGCCTGATGCGCGGCTGCGCAGAAGGCAGAGGAGAGGAGAGCAGTGGAAATCTATGGGCCGGCCCTTGGGACGGAAAAGCCTCCGCTGCTAGTGAGGCCACACCCTAGCTCTGGGGATAAAAGGCAGGGGGCAAAGATGAATAGATCTGGCAGACAACTATTCATCTCCCAGATGGACAGACTTGTTAGCTTGTATTGAAAGAGAAACTTTTTGCCGGGGGCTGCTGGTGCTCCTAATAAAGAAATGTTTGAGTTCACTTCAGAGGGTTTGTCAGTGTTTGGGGAGCTGGGCCAGAACACCGAGGTTACGAGACTGCCGATACCTTATCTCTGCAAATTAGCCTCGGGAGCCAAACCTCCGCTTGCAGAAACCAGCTGACAGGTTTCCTCCCATCATGAACCTTATGTCACTGGCGTCAGCTGATGCTGCGTGTTGCTGGTGCCCAGGTGTGAAAGGGAGTGGTAATGTCAGAGCATTCTGAGCCCATAAAAATGTCAGAAAACAAACAAAAAATAAATACCGGTACCGGTAAGCAAATGTTTTCCTTTGCAAAATAAATGTGTCAACCCTGAGGAATATGGCCAATTTGGGGGGGGGGGGGGGGATGTTGTTACTCAGGAGGTTTCTCTTCTCAGGGCTTCAGGGTGTTGTGACCCAAGCCTCATTTAAATCAAAGAAACACAAAGCAAACCTTTTTAATGCGTCTCTGTGAATTCTGTTCATTCACAGCCAAGGGTCATTAAAACTAATTGTCCCAGATAAGAGTGAGCCCTTTCAAGGTTACGTAAGGCTGCCAAGAATACAAGATTAACTGCAGAGAAATATTCCAAACCAAAAATCTCCAAACACAAACCAGAACAGACAGGACTTCCACGAGAACTTGGGAGTTGAAAGAACTTCTTTGCTTCCTGCAAAGAAGCCAACCCCGAAGGCTGGCTTTTATCCCTTATGGGAGGAGCCATCACCTTGCAGCCTTATTCCCGAGTCAGCTGCTCTTTCCTTTGAGCAGCCCTGCATTCACGTGCACTCAGGACAGACACCCCGGGGTCCTCTTCATCACTGCTGCCGTACTCCACAAGCTCCGAAGGCAGCACCCCACTCTCTGATAGTCCTGGCCCCATCCCTGCATCACATGCAGAGGCCCCTCAACCGAATCCTTGCTCTCCGAGACCTCAGCCATCCGCACCTACTGCCGGCGAACCACAACACAGGGCTAACACAGCCTGGAGTGAAGGGGCTGGGGAGAGGGGTGGTTGTAGAGATTAGCTGGGGTGTTGTAGCCTAAATAAAATTCTTTTCCCTGGGAATCAAGGACATTCGTGCAGGTGTCTGCAGGGTGGGGGCGGAGGTCCTCTTGCAACTGGACTGTATGCTGATTGGATCGTGTGACTGAGACTCTGGGAGGGGGAATGGTGGAGTTTTGTTTTTAAATGGGGGGGGGGGGGAGGGACTGGCATCAACTTGAGAGCCGGTTTTCCATCAGGAAGTGGCCAATTTGATACGTCCTAATAAAAATGTTCTTCGAGGGACTTGTCTGCCATGGAGTTCTTATTGAATGGGACCTATTACTTGGAACCCTGACAAACTGTCTTCTGTTTAAGGTTTAAAATATTGATGTCTGAATTTTGGGTAAGCAAAGTGTGGGTGGGTGGGGGGGAACGTCCTATACAAGGGAGGCATCTTATAGACGAGAAAATACGGTACTTGTCTCTGCATATTGAGGCCATCAGCCCCAGAATTCCCTGGAAGCATGGAAGCTGTAATCCCAACCCTGGGAAGCTACGGGGTGGGATCCCTCTTGGAACTTACAGTCGAGGCTGCCGGCATCCGACCAGACATCAGCTGGTAAACAGTCTGCAGCGGGTCGTTTATCGGGAGACTGTTGGCGAATCTAGAAAGAAGAGAGTAAATTTCTGTGCAACATGTTCACCTGTCTTCTGTCTCTTATATTAGGGATCAAATCTCTCTGGGGATTCTCAGTCATCCAGCTCACGGTGGTCCCAAAGATGCTTTTTCCAAGAGGCAACTGGACTCCCTTTGTTTTACTTTGAAGATGTGTCGCTTCTCATGCTGGGCCTGGCTAGTCTAGTGAAGTGTTGCAATATTGGAGGGGTTGCCACAGAGAGGAGGAGGGGGTCAAGCTATTTCCCAAAGTACCTCAAGGCTAGACAAGGAATAATGGAAGGAGAGATTCAACCTGGAAATAAGGAGGAATTTTCTGACAGTGAGAACAACCAATCGATGGAACAGAAATTTCCTTCGTAAGTTGTGGGAGCTTCATCGCTGGAGGCTTTCAAGAAGAGACTGAACTATCATCGGTCAGAAATGGTGTAGGGTCTCCTGCTTGAGTGGGGGCTGGACTAGATGACCTACAAGGTCCCTTCCAACTCTGTTAATCTGTTAGTCAGATCATCCAAGAAGCTTCTTTAGCTCTGCAAAAAGTTTTAAATTACTAAGACTGGTGTAGAAGGTCCTTCAAAGCTGAAGAAGTTTCTTGGATGAGAAGTGAAATGTCATCAAAGACAAACCAGAAACTCCAGTTGCCTCTTGAAAAAAAAAAAACACTTTTGGGATAATGACCAAATACTTAACAGGAAAAACAATATTAGTGAAACAAAACAAAATGTAGAGTTCCAAAGTTCTCTGATAGCAGACTGTTATTGTAATCCACTGGTACAAAAATTTACCATGGCATCTTATCTATCCCAAATCATCCCAAAAGTTATAAACAAATTGTCATGGGTCAAATATCCATGTTTGTTTCTTAATATTGTCTCTGGTCAATTGCTGCTTAATTCAATATAGTAAATTCAGTCTTAGTTTAAAATTTTTTGGAGGGCTTGTTTTGCAGGGGGTGGGAACTAATGTTGTAATAATATATTAATCAGTATTCAACTAGAAGGGATGATGTGTGCATAATGTCTTTTTATGCATCTTTTTAACATTTTGATTGTTGTTGTTTTTTCATTTTCCTTTTGCATTTTTTTTAGTTCTCTATGTTGTATTTTAACTTTGTTTTTAATTAAAAAACAGGTTAAAAGGGAAGAAAAGAGTACAACGGTCAGCAATCAACAATCCAAGGAGAAAAACTGCCTTAGTTCCCCTTTGGAGAGACACTGCAAGACCCAAAGCGAGAAAAGAGGTTGTTGCATTGGCCTCCTGACCAGATCTGGCCCAAAGATCTTCTGTAGAATAGAATAATAGAATAGAATAGAATAGAATAGAATAGAAGAGAAGAGAAGAGAAGAGAAGCTGGAAGGGACCTTGGAGGTCTTCTAGTCCAGCCCTGCTCAAGCTGGAGAACCTCTACTATTTCAGACAAGTGGCTGACCACTTTTTTCTTAAGAACCTCCAGTGATGAAGCAGCCACCATTTCTGGTGGCAAGTAGTTCCACTGGATAATTGTCCTCCCTGTTAGGAAGTTTCTCCTTAATTCCAGGTTGCTTAGATTAGTTTCCATCCGTTGTTTCTTCCCTTCCCTTCAGGTGCTTTGGAGAAAAATGTAACCCCCTCCTCTTTGTGGCCACCCCTCAAATATTGGAATATTGCTATCATGTCCCCCCTAGTCCCTCTTTTCTCTAGACTGGCCAAACCCAAAACCTGCAGCCATTCTTCGTATGTTTTAGTCTCCAGGCCTTTAATCCTCTTAGTTGCTCTTCTCTGCACTTGTTCCAAAGTCTCAACATCTTTCTTCTAGTATGGTGACCAAAATGGTTTGCAGTGGGGCCTTACTAAGGGTCCCGACTGAGATCAGAGGCACCCAGAGGTCTCATCCCCTACCTGGTCATCACTCGAGCATGCGTCCTGCTGTCCATCTTACTGGCAAGCAACAATGCATGGCCCCAAAGCCCATGTTTCATGGCAGATTCCAGAGCATCCTATTTGGAAAAGAACGCAGGGTGTTAATTTTTTTTCTTTTTGCAGGAGCCAACACTACAAGGAGGAAGGAAGCCAAGTGAGACGGGCACCTTTTTGCGCCCATAAAGCAGCAGCTCCCGGAAGCGCTCCGTTTCCTTCTCTAGGCTGTCGATGGTGGCGATGAGGCTGTCCGTTAGGAAGGACAGCTGAGCCTCTCCACTCTCTTCAGGCATGTGCTCCACGGCCTCGTTGGTGAAATCGATCAGGTTGGCTTCGTTGGGCGACTTCCCGGGCAGCCACACGGTCTTATGATCCTGGAGCAGCAGCTCGGCAATGTCCGTGCCCACCACTGTCTACAAATAAAAAGGGGAAGCTCTTAAAACAAGGGAATTCTGGGAGTTGGGAAGTGGCTTAAGGTTGAGAAACCAGCCTAAGACAGACCCAGGGGTGGGATTCAAATGTTTTTACTACCAGTTCTGTGGCCATGGCTTTGTGGGCGCGGCAGGAGAAGGAGACTGTAAAATCTCCAGGCAGAGGTGGGATTTGCCGTTCTCCGAACTACTCAAAATTTCCGCTACCGGTTCTCCAGAACTGGTCAGAACCTGCTGAATACCATCTTTAACCCAAAGATGCTTTTTCAGGAAGCACCTGGACTTTCTTGTTTTTTTTCCTTTTGAGGTTGTTTCACTTCTCATCCCAGAAGCTTCTTCAGCTCTGATAAGACAGTGGGGAATGGAAGGATTTATATTCCTTGCGGACAGCTGGTCATTTGTCTCCTTTTAGAGGGTCACTGAGGCCACTTGGAGGTTTATCTGTGCCCTTAGGGTCACCTGAGTAGTGCAAATGGTTCCTCTAGTCTGCAATTTTAGCTTTTAGCTATACAATTTGGGATGAACACTCTTCGAATGGTGTGGGAGTAGGAATGGATTTGCAGAGAAAACAATTGCAGACTACAGGAACCAGGAGCACCACTCAGGTGACCCTGAGGACGCGGAGAAAACCCCAAGTGGCCTCAATGACTCGGTAATAGGATGCAAATGACCAGCTGTCTGCAAGGAATATAAATCCCCCCATTCCCCACCATCCAATCAGAGCTGAAGAAGCTTCTTGGATGAGAAGCAAAACGACTTCAAAATAAAAAAAAAACAAGAAAAAAAAAACACCTTTGGGACAACCGTGACCTGGATGACGGAGAACCTCTACAGACATCCTAGACAGGCTGGCAGTGAAGGGGTGGGTGGGAGGGGAGCAGAAACTCTAGGGAGGGTCTGCTTTTGCCCATCAAACCCACTGGGGTGCAGGACCAGAAGATGGCGACGTATGGTTGGGGCTTTCTACTGCAGTCATCCAGTGGGAGTTTAATTTCAGGGTGGAAAGTCCACCCTACTTAAAAATTAACTCAGATGTGTCCATGGAAAGAGAGAGACGCAGATCTGTGAGTGTATCGCTAACAAATAAAGGGGAAAGGGGGTTAACCATACAGGATTTCCGGTGGTTCTGCTGAAATCAGCAACCTGGTAAACATAAAAAGAAGTCCAGGATGTTTCATCCCAAACCGTAACCTCGGTTATGCCTCACATAACCGAGAAGAGACCCAGAGCTGCAGAAAACACATTTTGTTCCAAGTGACTGAAGCAACTGAAACTCTGGGCCTCTAGAAGGCAAAGGGATGATTCAGAGCATTCTGGTAACACGACAATGAAACCAAAGGCATCTTCTTCAAACTTCTCCAGAACAAAACTTAGCAAGGTGGGACTCCTCCTGAAGACATCCCCATAAATTGCACCCAACCTACCTCTGATAAGCAATATACTAATATTAGGAGCATGATTACTTTCTTGAAAATATAGGCTGAACCATGAATATCAGATCTGCAGAAGGATCTACTTTAAAGTGCATCTTTCCTGGCCTAATTAGAGGCCTGAGGCTTGAGGCAAAAATTTGCCCAATCTTTTTCTACTCTATCCCTGGGTCTCTTCTCAGTTTCTGATGTGGAATTTAGCAGATTGAGGAAGTGTGAAGAATGCTTCATTAATAACAAGGAATGAATCGATTGCAGGTTGGCTGCACAAAAGATCCTTGGCCATGAGCCTTTTATTTCAATTAAGTTATAGAATTAGCTACTGAAAAAAAGAAAAATCACCCCAAAGGCTATTATAAGCCAACATTCGGGCATTTCTCAAGGCAGAGCTAAGCTAACCAGGCTCAGGATGAATTAAATAAATATGGATCAACTCATATTGCGTCCATTAAATAGAGTCAACACGATTATTCTCCCATTTTCCTTACTGCCAAGTTGAAGACATTAACACTGGCGGCACTTTTGGGAGATGTTG